CGTAGCTAGGTCGTATGAGACATGAGAGTACACAGCAATGTGCATGTTGAACTGCAGAACTCACAGAGTGATTTTCACATTTCTGACCTGCGTCCAATACTTGACTTTAGAGAGAGAAAAACTACAGAGCATGATGCTCACCTTATCCAATAAACCAAGTTCTAACAAGTCGTTTATGAAGATTTTCCCCGCTCGCATAGGTCCGACAGTGTGCGACGAACTTGGACCCACTGTTACACAGGGGTAAGTCGACTATGAGCGTATGAAGGGTCGCTCAAGCGCACCCCCTATACTGAACAAATCAAAAGCTGAGATGACCGCATGTTGTACGTCTTGTGCATGAAGGTCAGCAGAACCATCCGTGTCCTCCAAAGGAAGCGGATCCCCTTTCTGGATACCCAGAAGGCGCTCCTCCTCCGCTCGCCTAGCAGCTGTGTTCGTTGGGTATCCCATTACTGAAGACGTGGAGACTGAGCGTGTACTACTGACTCCCGTAGGATGACATGTTACGCAGCGGTGGCGGGACAGCGGAGAAGCAGTGAGACCAGCAGGCGAGAAACGCGTGGCAACAGCGGGGGCAGAGCGGCCAAGACGCGCGAACATGCCTGTGGAGTCTACGAGTAGTATTCCTTCTACGAACTGAAGAAGGTGGGCGAGGACGAGTGCGGTGAGCGAGACATTGACAGAAGACGCTATATAACTCCGTTCCCGGAGTTTTTGGATTTTGCGACATCAGTCCCGATATGGAAATTATTGATGGCTTAACCCAAGTATTCAATCGCGACGAGTCGGAGTCGATCAATGAGCCATTGTTGAAGACACTGGAGTGTGCATGACATCGAGGACATAATAAATTGAGAAAATTGGCGAAGTTACGTCGTATATACGGCGTGGATAGTAGGTGATAGAATCGTCGTTTGAAATCTCAGACTCGGAGTGACACAACTCAGCAGTGGTGGCATTAATTCAAGCAGTGACAATTTCTTCGCGTTTGGCATGTATGCAGTGTTACCGGTAGTGTATAAAACAGGTTCTGCCAAATCACAGTGTACGACTCGGAGGCTCACGCTTGCAAGAACTTCGACGCTGAAAAACCACCAACCGATGACATAACACTCATCGACGCACAAGTTGCTTTATGGTAGTTCCATACTAATAAACCTTCTATCTGCTCTTAGTCTCGGCCGAATCAGCGTTCATAGAGCGGGAAACGGAGACGGGGTGGCCTTCCGGCGCCTAGCCCTAACCCCATCATCAGTCCACACGGCAGTTGTCTTGAACTGTACCACCCAACAAGTTGAAGCAGCAATCTCCTGCAAATCGTAGCTTTGTTTCCAGACCGGGGATCAGATCGGATCAGACAGCTTCTTCTTCTTCCTTTGTATTCCAGGTGAGCGATAGTATAGGATATAACATAGGGATTGAGATCCCGGTATGAAGAATAATCAACAGTGGGGCCCATCAAGTCTTCCGTAAAGACCCTAAGTCCCAGAATGTGTGCATCTTTTTGTTCTGTGCTGAAGAAATACTCTAGCATCAGAGTTGCCACGTATAAGTGACGCTGTGACTCGTCGTCGAACTCTCAAAATCACGCACCGCACAAATAAAACAATTTGACCGAATCCCTCATATTCCAAAATACTTTTGGATGGATCAGGAGGGAAATAAAATATTGTATATTGCACTTCTGAATGAAAATATACTCAGTGAAGGTCAGAATTTGTTTAATCATAACTGTGAATAAGTAGCCCACATCATGATGGGTGAGGCTGTGAGTTCCGAATGTAGTACGCATTGTGAGCAATATACTTAGTCATAAAACATATTTCAAGACAATGATCATCTTTCAAGGTAAGCTTCCTGCCGTGGTGATAGTGATTATTGCGCTGATCTCAGGACGTCTGCAACCTGAACTAGAGCAGTAGTGGCTGAAATTTTGCAGTTACGTCCAATGCTACTCTTTGGAATTTCTTTCTCAAATTAGATAAGTAACCATCGCGTGCAGCATCAGATTCGCAAGACCGGGGAGGGTGATAAATCGATGACAACTAAATGCAACCGCCGGTTGTGACATCCAGTGATTAATTCAGCGAGAACACTATGTCTGACCCTAACCTTGCTATCGGTCCTCCTTGTCACGTGCTGCAGCAAACATGGCTTCCTTCGGTACCGTCTGAGATCTGCTCGCTTCGCGATTTGTCACTTTGTCTGTAGCCACTGACGAGCTAACTTACGTGTGTACTCTTGCTGTTTACTCTCCACTCATTTCCCTGCGCACGCGGTACCGCACCGCCATTGTTGTGAAAATTTGCATCTTGCAGCATCGTTACTCCCACTTTCCGCTGTCATACAGAACAGCATCCGAGTCGCCTTAGGAGCCAACACGCATCAATTCGTACAGTTACACTACTGTTGTGCTCACTAACGAACCGCGCATACCCAGGATTATATCTCCTGTGCGGCATCCATTCACATTGGGCACGATGACAAGCAGTAGTAATGGTTCGCCAATCATGCAAGAGGAAGAAGATGTGGTGGAGATCAGGAGAGCTCTTGCAACCGGGAAAGAGACGTCGAGTACAATGTCTTCAGGTTAGTATCACACCACTATAGTGTGCCCATGCACATATAGCCAATTTTGTTTGCGCCGTCATGGAATACACCGTCACTCACGAGGCTTGTTTTACAACAGTTCCACCCATTGTCTGCTACTGTATTGCGTCGATTCTGATGACTGTGATAAATAAGGTGCGCATATCTTCGATTGATGTCTCCTGCTTCGATTAATTTTCCCTGATTTGAGCGTAGTTTGTCGTATCCGGTCCGGAATTTAGCATGAATTTCCTACTCTTAGGCATCCAATCATCCGTCTCTGTTCTCTGCGTTCTCATCGTCAAGCGCTCAGGGTGGATCTCATTCCGTTCGTTCGACTCGCGCGACGCCAAGGCATGGTTCCCCGTCAGTTTCCTTCTTGTAAGTGTCATCTACACGGGGTCCAAGAGTCTGGTGAGTGATCGCTCCTTCGTTCATGCAAGTGACCCGCCTCCGGAGATCAGTGCTTCCTGTTATTTGTTTCCAATCTTTGACTATCTGGCGCGTAAGGTTCATTCGTGCGCAGCGCTGATGCCATTATTATGAATAGCAACATCTCAGCATACCTATGTACACAATTTTCAAAAACCTGACGATCATCCTCATCGTGCGTGCCGTCCTTTGTCAAGTATAGCTCCTGCAAATTCAATTATCACACGATGATACACAGGCTTACGGAGAGGTCATTTGGTTTGGTGGACGGGTCACCGGGCTCACACTCATTTCGTTCGTTTTCATGGTAGGTTTTCCGGCTTGCGGAGGCAGTGAATATCACTACTCGTCCCCCCGTGCTCATACTTGGTCCCACTGTGATAGGTCTTCTCCTCCGTAATTGCCGCGTGGGCTGATATCAGCGAGGCATTCACTGCTGGCGACCCTGCTGTTGTGGAGGGGCTTGGCATGCTCGCAACGATGAAGGGAGTTGTAACCAATCTCAACGTTGGATATTTTTGGATGTTCTTGAATTGCGCGACGAACGCAACTTATGTTTTGTCGATGCGCAAGCGCATCAAAGTGACCGGATTTTCGGACTGGGACACGATGTTCTACAACAACTTGCTCTCTATTCCTGTTCTCGCAACATTCTCTGTCATTGCGGAGAACTGGGGACACGATAATCTCGTGCGCAATTTGTGAGGGACCTATGTGTATGTTATGAAGTGTCATCGAGGGACTCACGACCGTGCAGCCCAGCAGAAAGGCGTAACGTGTTGTTATTTGCAATCGCCTTTTCAGGAGCTGCCGCAGTGGGAATATCATACACGACAGCATGGTGTATTCGAGCGACGAGCAGCACGACATACAGGTCAGTCTTCCATATTCCACTTCGCATCTTGAAACCGCTCACAGCTTTGAAATAGCATGGTCGGTGCATTGAATAAATTGCCAGTGGCGGCGTCGGGGATGATCTTTTTTGAGGACCCTGTTACACCGGGGTCCGTGTCTGCAGTAGGAGTAGGGTTCCTTGCGGGACTGGTGTATGCAGTGGCGAAGAACAACCAGAAGAATGCGGAGAATGCGGCGCAGCTCGGACAAGGTGCTATTCCACTCACACGGAAGTCATGATGCCTTGCGATATGACTGGACCCGATTCTTCGATTCTCGAGAATAGGGTCCCTTCCGCGGGCTCTTCACTGGGTTGCATGCATCTGCACGCGTACGATGCAGAACGGTGCCCCGGTGCGATTGGTCAGTAAATACGGGCCCCCGTTTATACTGTTTCTTGGACATTCTAGGGTGTGGACATGGGACATTGTAGTGGATCGAGCCATACTTCGCCCGGCTGAGCGGGGCGTACTGTACGTAGATGACTAGCGCCATCGATGTTCTCTGGCGTCTTTAATTTGGGCAGCCCATCCAGCGAGCAGCGGGGGCAATAGACGGTTTCTGGATGCAGTCTTGGTGGCGATATGCTATCGTCGACAGTGGCGGGGATGAAGCGGCGACCGCTGTAACCCCGCGGACTGAGAGGGCCGAAAATGTAGATAAATCTCCCCGATCGTGTCGATGAGGTCACTTGATCTCTCCCCAGGTCTCCTCAACGCGTCCGGGTTTAAGTTCAGTCTTACCTTTCTCTTCCTTCTCTGTTACAGCCCACTCCCCCCCCGACCTCGTTGTCGAAAACATTTCGGACATCGTTACACTCATCCATCCCCGGCCTCTGACTTTCACGATCTCAAATCGTCCTTAGAACCCAGCCAAGAGCATATTTCGCCACCATGCCCGCCGATACTGGCGCAACCGCGACCCTCCACCCTCCCCGCCTGGCCGCCATGTTTGCGGGATCCCCCAGTGCGCCGGGAACACCGGTGCACTCTATTCAGACTATGCGCCGCAAGGCTGCAGGTCACTCTGGCCCCCTCACAAAGATTCTTGTCGCCAACCGTGGGGTGCGCGCTGCTTTCTATTCCAGTGGTCCACTGTGACTGACAGCTTTTGTCCCGCAGGAAATTGCCATCCGTGTCTTCCGTACTTCACATGAACTCGCCATGCATACCGTTGCAATCTACTCCTTCGAGGACCGTCTCTCTGCTCATCGCCAAAAGGCGAGAACCCTTTGTTCTGTACGTTCAATGTGACTTATGTCTGCATCTCCAGGCCGATGAAGCGTACCAAGTCGGCAAAGGTCTTACACCCGTCGCTGCGTACCTCGCTCAAGATGATATAATCCGTATTGCCCTCGAGCATGGCGTGGATATGATTCACCCAGGGTGAGATGCCCCTTTCCCGCATCTGCTTGCTGATGTCGAATGATGTTATCCCTCCTTTCGCTTCACCCTTTCACATGAAATCATTATATGCGCCGTCCTTCTTTGTCTGCCGTGCCATCGATTAGGTACGGGTTCCTTTCTGAAAATGCGGAGTTCGCGCGAAAAGTCGAAATGGCTGGCATTGCATTCGTCGGACCTTCCCCAGAGGTCATCGACCAGCTTGGGGACAAGACAAAGGCCCGTACCGTTGGTATGTAGACTTCCCCACAGCCCGGTCTGTCCAGATAAACTGATATTCTTCATGAACATAGCCCTTAAGGTCGGCGTCCCTGTCGTGCCTGGTACGCCAGGACCAGTTGATTCTTATGTTGAAGCGGATTCTTTCATCAAAGAGTACGGGTTCCCCGGTGCGTTATTTTATGTATTAATTATTATACATAATCTCAACACCGCTCGTTCTTGCAGTTATAATCAAAGCTGCAATGGGCGGCGGTGGACGTGGGATGCGTGTTGTTCGTGAACAGTCCGATTTCGCGGCATCGTTCGAACGCGCCGTCTCTGAGGCCAAGTCTGCCTTCGGTGATGGCACCGTCTTCATAGAACGCTTCCTTGAGCGTCCGCGTCACATTGAAGTGCAGCTCCTCGCTGATGGAGAGGGGAACACGATACATCTCTTCGAGCGTGACTGTTCCGTGCAGCGCAGGCATCAGAAGGTCGTCGAGGTTGCTCCCGCGACGCACTTACCTGAGGAAGTCCGTCAGGCGATCCTCGCTGATGCTATCAAGCTCGCAAAGAGTGTAGGCTACCGCAATGCGGGTACTGCGGAGTTCTTGGTCGACCAGATGGGTCGTCACTACTTCATCGAGATCAATCCTCGTATCCAGGTCGAGCACACTATTACCGGTGCGCGCATATACTCCGCCTAACCCCTTTTTTGGAGCTGATTTGGGTATGAATACACGTAGAGGAAATTACAGGCATCGACATCGTTGCCGCCCAGATTCAGATCGCTGCAGGTGCAACACTCCCTCAGCTCGGACTCTCCCAGGAGGCGATCACCAAGCGTGGATTCGCTATTCAATGCCGTGTTACGACTGAGGATGCTGCGACAGGATTCCAGCCTGATACAGGTAAGATTGAGGTATACCGCAGCGCTGGAGGCAACGGCGTTCGTCTCGACGCTAGCTCTGGCTTTGCTGGTGCGCAAATCACTGTGTGTAGTGTTATTATATCTGTGGCCGGCGAACGCAGTTTTGACCACTTGTTTCTGACAGCCTCACTATGACAGTTTGCTTGTGAAGGTGTCTGTTAGCGGTACGACATACGAGGTGGCGCGTAGGAAAATGCTTCGTGCGCTTGTTGAATTCCGTATTCGTGGCGTAAAGGTGTGTATTATGCAAATTTCTGCCCATATGATTCGGCTGATATTACGAATCCAAGACCAACATTCCGTTCCTCTTCCGTCTCCTCACTCACGATGTCTTCATTGGTGGAAAGACCTGGACAACGGCAAGTGCTTATACTCACAGGCTAACAACACGTTATAATACTGATTTTGTCTAGTTCATTGATGACACACCTGAGCTTTTCAAGCTCGTCCAGAGCCAGAACCGTGCCCAAAAATTACTCGCTTATCTAGGGGATCTTGCCGTCAACGGCAGTTCGATCAAAGGCCAGCAAGGCGAACCGGGGCTCAAGGACGATATTGTCGTGCCTGTCTTCCAGAACCGCGATGACCCAGAGGGCCCGCCTCTCGATGCGTCACTGCCATGTGAAAAGGGATGGCGCAACATCATCGTCGAACAAGGTCCTGAAGCATTCGCTCGCGCTGTGCGCGAATACCCCGGTGTGCTCATCATGGACACGACGTGGCGTGATGCTCATCAGAGTCTGCTTGCAACACGTCTCCGTACTATCGACATCGCCAACATCGCGAAGGAGACCAGTTATGCGCTCTCGAACGCGTTCAGTTTGGAGTGTTGGGGTGGTGCGACGTTCGATGTGGCCATGCGCTTCTTGTACGAGGACCCATGGGAGCGTCTGGTGAGTGACTGCATACAGTTATGACGTGATGGGCATTGTTACGAAAAGTTCTGTTCAGCGCGCACTGCGTAAGCTCGTTCCGAATATCCCTCTGCAGGCTCTCGTGCGTGGTGCAAACGGTGTCGGTTACACTAGCTATCCGTGTGTCTATAGTTTTCTACATATCTTGTGGTATCAATCTAAATCGAGGCATACAGGGACAATGCAATCTACGACTTCTCGAAGAAAGCTGTGGAGAACGGCCTCGACATCTTCCGAGTGTTTGACTCATTGAATTATATTGGTACGCATCTTATTTATTTGCAGTTTACCTAATTGACGCTTGGTTGTAGAGAACGTTAGTGGGACGCTAGTACCTTTATAACCCATTTGCAGCAGTCTGACTTGTCTACAGTTGAAGCTTGGTATCGATGCTGCTAAGAAAGCGGGAGGTGTCGTTGAAGCTGCCGTCTGCTACAGCGGTGATGTCGCAAATCCGAAGCTTACAAAATACACGCTGCAGTACTATCTCGACTTCGTCGACCAGCTCGTCGCCGAAGGCATCCACATCCTTAGCATCAAGGACATGGCCGGCTTGTTGAAACCCGAGGCAGCGAAGATGTGCGTCATTTTGAACCTATTGATGTTTTTGGAGAAGTATTGATGTTGTTTTCTCTTACAGTCTGATCGGTGCTATCAGGGAGAAGTATCCTGACCTTCCGATTCATGTTCACTCACACGACACGGCTGGTATATCCACTGCCAGCATGCTGGCGGCAGCGGCAGCTGGTGCTGATGTTATTGATGTTGCCATTGACAGTAAGCGCTACATAATGATCATCTTTGACCGCTTACGATCGTGCTATTTCCTCAGGCATGTCTGGACTCACATCTCAGCCGCCGATGGGTGCCATCTGCTCCGCGTTGGAGCAGACCGGAATGGGAACGGGCATTCGTTATGCGGATATCCAGGCCTTGAATGTATATTGGAGTCAAGTTCGCATGCTCTATGGCTGCTTCGAAGCCAATGTCAGGGCGTCCGACTCTAGCGTCTTTGACCACGAAATGCCGGGAGGTCAATATACCAACTTGATGGTGAGGCGGGGATTCGTATTCGTCATCGATCTACCTAACGTTGATGGATGTAGTTCCAAGCCGCGCAGCTAGGTCTGGGCACTCAATGGACTGGTGAGTTTGCGATCAAAACTTCAGCGTCTACCAACCGCATTGACGAATTGGAACAGAGGTTAAGAAGAAGTATATTGAAGCCAATGACATGGTAGGTGCCTGTGTCTAAATTGAGACGGAGAGTGGTGCTGATTCGCCACCATGCGGACATAGTGCGGAAATGTCATTAAGGTGAGATATCCCCTATTTTGATTCCAACTGCCTACCGTGCTGACACCAAACTAGGTAACGCCGACGTCCAAGGTCGTGGGTGACTTCGCACAGTGGATGGTATCGAATGGCTTCTCGAAACAAGATGTCCTGGATCGCGCGGAGCAGCTCGACTTTCCCTCATCTGTTGTTGAGTTCTTCCAGGGTTATCTTGGACAGCCTGTTGGTGGCTTCCCCGAGCCTTTGCGTACCAAGATTATCAGAGACAAGCCGAGGATCGATGGCAGGCCTGGTACGAACATGGTACCTGTGGACTTTAAAAAGACAAAGGCAGAGCTCCGCAGCAAGTTCGGCAAGCACATCACTGACGCGGATGTTACCTCGTATGTCATGTACCCGAAGGTATGGCATCTATGCAGTAACGTGGGTGTTCTCAACCACTGACGTCCTCACTAATTCCACAGGTCTTTGAGGAGTACCAGAACTTCGTCGAGAAGTATGGAGATCTGAGGTACGCGGCGCATTGGAGCCGATGGGTTGTTTGCTCATGATCCTGCCAGTGTGATCCCCACACGTTATTTCCTTGGGCGGCCGGATATTGGCGAAGAAATGCACATCTCCATCGAGAAGGGTAAGACTCTGATTATTCGCCTGATGGCAGTCGGTCCTGTCGTCGAGGGCCGTGCTCAGCGCGACGTCTGGTTCGAGGTGAACGGAGAGGTAAGTCGGCTGCAGATTCAGAGAAGTGTTTTCGGGTGACCTGATCCATCGTGTGACGGATTAGGTCCGCGCTGTGTCTGTTGAGGACAAGAATTCTGCTGTTGAGACGGTCTCCCGCGAGAAGGCCACCTCGGATCCAGGCTCCGTCGGTGCGCCGATGTCAGGTGTAGTCGTGGAGGTAAGAGTGAAGGAAGGTTCAGAAATCAAGAAGGGCGACCCTGTTTGCGGTAAGTGCTGCCCTACGGAACGTGTTTACCAGATGCTCATGAACTATTTTCAGTGATGAGCGCCATGAAGGCATGTTGTTCGCAGACCTGACCTGGACTTTGTTACTCACTGTCGTGTTCAGATGGAATCCTCCGTCACAGCACCTGTCTCGGGTCATATCAAGCGCGTCGTTGTACACGAAGGTAACGTCTTGGTAATGGATATGGATGCTGATGCTGATGCACCTGATAATCTTTCAGGCGACTCGATCAACCAGGGAGACCTCGTCGTGGAGATTGTACACTGATTCCGATGGACTGAAGAATGTAATTCGTCTCGTTTAGCAACAACATCCTGTACGTTGTAGAATAGAAGCCTGTATTTCTGTCGCAATTGAATGCATACAATGATTCTCTCATGAACTAATTGGTCCGACGAAAGTACACGATATACACCTTGACGACCGCACAACTCGCTCAGAAGAGGTGTAATCATGGCCGAGAAGACTGTGCGCGTGCCACCGTCTTGGACTTTGCCGCTGGGTCATGCGCCACGCCTAAAAGCACGACAGGCAGCAGCCTGCACCGTCACAGGAACCCAGACTGACCTCATGATGCGTACGGATCTTATACTTTAAAAAAAACGCGCGCGGACGCAAACGTAATGGCAGCTCTCCCAGGAGAAGGGGGAGGGGGAGGGAGAGGTGAGGGGGGAAGATCCGAGCCAGCCCGTATAAGGCTGGCTCGATCCGGCGGACCAGCCGCTTATCGCAGACTGAATAGGCCGGACGAAGTCCAGGTGAGCGCGGCACGGCGCAGGCCTCCCATTGCGGGCGCAGTGCGCCGATTCTCGAGGACGGTGCGCGGATATATACATCGCGCGCGCGGGCGCAGATCCCGTTGCCGCTGCGCGCGGCAGCACCCAGCACGCCCCACACACCACGCCCCCCGCGGGGTGACCAAGGCCACGCGCGCCATTGGCCGCGAGCGCGCCCCCGCACACCTGAGCACATCTGGGGCCGGCGCATGTGGGCGGCGCCTCGGCGGTGCCCGCGGGGGAGGGACCAGGACCAGGGTAGGATCCGCACGTCCCCCCTCTCTCCCCCTCCGGCGCGATGGCCTGCGATATGGCAGCCC